CCTCCTGCAAATCCGGTAACATTTCACATTCCTAAAGTTGGTTAAATGAGATTGGCAATGAAACTTACCATAAAGGGTAGCGAAAGCATTTGCGTAACGCCTCGAAAACGGCAATAAGTGAAGGCGCGAATGCGAAGGTTTGATTTTCAGGTTAGGAGAGGGAATTAGTGAAGGATATGTCGTTGCAAATATTATTTAAAAAATTGGTAATTGGTTCCTTTTTATTTGGAAGTTTTGCAAAGCAATTAGAAAATATTGCAGAAAGTGCCTTAACAGTACATTGGATACACCATGAGCAATTTGCATTACGTCAAATACGGTAAAAAGTACATTTGAACAGTTGAACAAATTCAAGCGGTGTATTAATGTAAACAAATTAGCAGCAAATGCAAATGACTCTAGAAAGAAAGATCAAAAGAAGACTGAACATCATGTTCAATTCGCTGCTATTCTGCATGCATTCGGGTACATATGGACAACCAAGTACGCTAAATGTACAATCTATGGCTAAATTCGCAAAACATTAGAGCAGCGATAGGACTTCATTAATCGGCTCGTGCACCAGTCTGATTAACTTCTGATCTATTAGCATTGTCTCTCAGTTGTGCAAGTGAGGAAAATTTTCCTTTAGAAGTTTTTCAAATTGACACCATAAGATGTGTTTGTCAGCAGTCAAAAGTCAAATACAAGTAATCACTGAAGCGCTTTATTTGCCTTTCAAGTCTTGTCTGAATTGCTACGAAAAAAATGCTCAAATTCACTCTTTTTTGTGTAATTTTATGCCTCAGAGATATGTAGTAGATCAGTTTCGAATAATAAACCATGTAAAACTCTGATAATACATAAAATGCACTGTATGTTTACAATATATAAATTTAGTTTTTACATTAAGAGAAAAACAAGAATTACTGAACATTGAATGAACTTTCTTTTCTGCCTAATATTAAAGGACGCTGATGCAGATGCTACCCAATCTGCATACAATCTACAGTTACTTTCTTTAATGTTATGAGATCTGAAAGATGCGCGCTATGGACACTACCGTACGTTTACAGTAAGCCTATGCTATACTACATGTTGGAATAAAAGGCGATATCTTATTGTGAGATTAAGATATATGTGTACAGTCGAAAATAAATTATCCTTTAAAAATAAACCACTTATTTCACAGAGAAGCTCTAAATGGAGATTTCTGACGAGAAGTTAATTATTTTATAAGATTAGGACTCGCTATATTAAGAGTTTCAAGTATAATACAGTTAAGGCAATGACGTTATTGAAAACGAGGGTATACGATAAAAGTATGAGTATTAAAATACTCGATAAGATAACAAAAGTAGAAGTCCCACCTCGGTGACTTCCTTGTTGATTTCCTCAACAGCATCAGCTTTATTGCCTGGACATTTCCACACAACCTCCTCATGGCATCGTTTATGCACCACAACAGTACAAACTAAATTATTTCCGTGAAATCTGGCAAACCGCAACTGCACAACAAGCGGGAAATTTTTCTACTTACTCTGACACTGATATCCTTGTTTGCCAA